CGTACAATTTATATTAGGTCAGCGTTCACGGTTCGACTTCTGATATTTAGTTCGAGTTCTAGGTCAAACTGGTTTGTTCGACTTTCAAGAAATTCGAGTTCTAGTGAGTTCGAGAACCGAGGTACCACTGTACTTTCAATTGTAATTTTCTTATCACATAACTAGGTAAATATTATTATAATAAGGAACAAATTCACTAAACATAATGTCAGTCACAGAGTATCTGTGGTTGCATGTGATAGATGTGGTTTAACTGGAAAAGTCTTTCCAAGCTCAGGTAAACATCAGCGCGACAGATAGCAGATGTTAGTTCTCTTGTGTTTTTCATTATAGGTATCAATGGCAACTTAAAACAATCTGGTCAGATCCTACAGTTCTGAGTGATGACTGATGTCATATCCCACAGTTCTGAGTGATGACTGATGTCTGATCCTACAGTTCTGAGTGATGACTGATGTCTGGTCCTACAGTTCTGAGTGATGACTGATGTCTGATCCTACAGTTCTGAGTGATGACTGATGTCTGGTCCTACAGTTCTGAGTGATGACTGATGTCTGATGAGTCAGATGTGTGGCACTTACTTGGTGACACTTTTTCAGGGCACTCACAAATATATGTAGTCAGTTAAACAAGAAATACATCTTTTTAACTATGGTTTGGACACTAAAACTATCTTATCAATCAAGAAAAAAATTGCTATGATGTACAGCCTCTGTATAAAAGGGGACATCAATGGAGAACAAATCACAGGTTGGAATCAGGCACAAACATCTGAGCATTTTTTTTTTGTTTGTTTTTTTTTTTAAATAAAATAAAAAAAACATCTGAGCGTTTTACGTAGTTGCAGCAAAAGTGATCCTCCAGTGATTACAGTATTGGATGAGTTTGGAGCACCGGTTCCAGGAGTTAATCCTACCAAGCCAACAATCACCTAAAATCTGTTAACACACAAGCAATGCCCCTTGCTAATCCTTCAAAAGGAATCACTGCAGCTCCGGGATCCATAAAAACAAACATTTGCATAACAAAGATTATTATCTTAAGGTCTATAAACTAAATGACTTTTAAAATTGTGCTGTATAACGCCGGCTTGTGTGTGATATAATGTAACATAATTATACAGCATCAGGGGGCAACTGGTGACAAAAAGCAGCCCCAAAATTTGCCGCTGACTTGCAGTAGCGTCCCACTTGGTATATTTTATGGAACTTATTGACCACCAAAGAAATCATCTCCAGTGATCAACCTGGAAAAGTGCCAAAATCGACTGACGGGTTGGGAATCTCTGGTATAATGCTAAGGTTGGGGGGGAAAGTCTGGCCCTCGCAAGACCGGCTCAGAAAGGAAAATTTCCGAACTTCCGGATGCCCAGTCCACGCCTGCATAGCATTTGATGTCCTACATGTTTGACTTCCAAAATTAATTTCTGATCGGAGTTAAAGGGAAACACACTATGTGAGGGTGCATATTGTAATAGTACACACTTAGTAAATGTATTAATAAACCAGGAACTAAGTATTAGTTACAAACTGACCCATGTTCGTTCATCATTAATGAATCATGACGGTTCATGTATTTCATGCAGGTACTATATTTGTTCATCATTAATACTTGAGTAGTAACTGAGTTACTGGGTTACTTGTGCCCCCTTAATGTAAGTGTTACCAAAGAAACTCAACTTGTGACCTGAAGTTTGCCATCCATCAGTGAACAGGCGCCAACACTACATACCAAGCAGTGCCAGGAAATCCCAGATACACCATCTCACTGGCCTGTCAGCAGGATGCCTCATTTTGCCTGACATTCCACACTCTGGCCTTTGCTAATTATCAGTAGAATGTCAGCATCAATCAAGTCCAGTGGAGTTTGCATATGTAATAACTCAAGCCAGGCAGATGTCTGTAAATCTCAAGGAGGACGATCATGGCCACAAGTTGGGCTGTGATTTAGGTCCAATGAATTGTTTCACAGGTACCAGCTGAGTATGTGAGAGATTCAGAGTGCGGAGAAAGAAGACAACAGACCAAAAGGAACAATGAAAGCATGTGGAAATCTAAGAGGCAGGCAGTCGAAAGAGGTCCAGAGGGAACTATAGTGAGAGATAATGCAGCTAGATTGCAGTACATATGCCCATTGATACACCTCAAGTGCACCTTTGCAACCAAAGTGGGCCAAATAAGACAGGCAACAGCAGTGAAGCGCTGATCCGAAGGTGAACCATCCTTCACCTTATTCTTAGTCTGCAGATGAGTGCAGGGCACCAAAGATGATTACAGGCTGGAGTGCTTCTTCCCTGTGGCGAAGATGGTGCATTTTCCTGGCTTGTATATGCCTTTGTATGCAATTCTGAGAGAAGGTGTCCATCTCATTGTGTTACATTTCTATCCTTTTAAAGGCGAATGTTCCAGTATGACAGTCCCATGTACTGTATGATTGTAATGATGACAATGACACGTATAATTTTAATGATGTGAATGGCATGTATGAGAAAGGTGCATGAAACTGTGAAGGCTTGTGGAGGCCTGTGAACCAACAAGACACTAAATTGGAGTTTGCTACTGACGCTACAGGCTTGCTGGCAGTATATGAATAAAGCTGGAATGTCTCATAAGAAATTATTAAAAGTGATAAAAATAGAATATCACAGTTGCGCCTCCATTGTATGTAAAAGGATGCTTAATCTGAGACAGTTCACAGGTCTCCGCGATCACGGCCCCCCCATACAGAAGTGAAGTCCACGTGAGCTGGCCTGGGGTCGGGGGGGGGGACTTATCTTCCCAGCAAAAAGGGTTTCTTTAGAGGACGGCTGCACTGTGTTCATCCAACCCATCAAATAAAATATCACGAGAAAAGAAAGCAGGTTTTCTGTCAGGCACCTCCAGCTTGACAAACACTGGGGACTTATTGTCATCCTCTGCTTCCCCAGAAGGCAGCTCGCCATTCACACTGCGCTCATGTGATGCAGCACCATGGTTTCCTATTCTTAGGCAGGTCAAAATTATACTTCCTTGTATGCTTCATAGGGACAGTTAGGGTCACACAATTTTAAAAGAGGGATGAAGACAGGCAGGGACAGAGATAGACAGAGAAGGACAGAGATAGATAGATAGATAGATAGATAGATAGATAGATAGATAGAGAGAGATAGAGAGAGAGAGAGACAGACAGACAGAGAGAAGAGGAAGACCTGACCCCCTTCTGACTCTTTAGTGGACCTGCTTCTACGCTTCCCCTATATGTCCCCCTTCTGACTCTTTAGTGGAGCTGCTTCTCTGCTTCCCCTATATGTCCCCCTTCTGACGCTTTAGTAGACCTGCTTCTATGCTTCCCTTATATGTCCCCCTTCTGACTCTTTAGTGGACCTGCTTCTATGCTTCCCCTATATGTCCCCCTTCTGACTCTTTAGTGGACCTGCTTCTATGCTTCCCCTATATGTCCCCCTTCTGACTCTTTAGTGGAC